GCCGGTCCTCTGGCTCATCGGCTCCTGTTTGTTTATTGGCATCCTGGTCGGCCTATGGCGTGCCAATCGCGCAAAACATTCTGGCCTGCGATGCCCTGCGCGTTGATTGGTCCCTTTTCGTGCTGTAATTATCCTCACGGGAATTCCCCGGATATTTGGTCCACGCGTCTGAGCGAAGGCCTCCCGCGTACTCAATGCGGCAGCGCACGCAGTTTGGCCATCTTGTTTCTTGCGTGGCCGGCTTGGTTTGTTGCGGCGTGCGTCTTCCGTTTGCCTTGGGCCGCGATTTCATTGTGCGGATCCCGTCTGTACTTGCACTTGTTACAGCTGTGATCATGCCTGATCTAGCCGGCCTCAATGATGTCACGAACGGTACTTCTCCATGCATGACGATTGACGACAGCGGATCTGGAGAGCTCCACCCAGGCTCTTCTCCAGCGACGAAAACCGAAGATAGAAGGTCCAAGAATTGTTTTCATGTCTTGACGGACGGTGTCGAACCAAGTCTTCAGTAGCCCTCCTCTTCGACGCCACCAGGTGGGCTGCGGTGTCGGATCGAGGGCAGCATAGCTAAGCTCGTGGGGCAGACGACGGAGAGCGTACCCAAACCACCATAATCGCTTTTTTGAATGGTCTGAGATATCCTCGCAATACGATCGCAGCTGGTGCTGACTGTCTCATTCGAGATGAAGTCGGTATACTTAATTCGTAGGATGGTCCTCAGGCAGCGGTGGTCAAAGACCTCCAGTCTTCGCTCATCATCAGTACGCAAAGCCCAGCATTCACATCCATAGAGGAGGACTGACTGGATAGATGCACGGTGCAGTACAGGTGTCTTGATGCCACACTCCAGGGAAAATAGAGCTATGGCCAGGTTTAACGTAGGTTAGGAATATGTTTAGAGTTACTATTAGAGCCACGGTTTAGGTCTACGTTGAGGCTATCGTTAGGGTTATCAAGCAGGCATATTTACTCGTCCCGGAATTATGCGGAAAACTACCTATTCATTCGTCCTGTTTAGGGAGCCATACAAGTAATTCGAAGTGAGCGTATTTTGTTTCCTTTGTCGACAACCCATACGAACCTTACCGTGTGAATTGATTCAGCCTAAGCTGTCGTCGACTGATGGACTGAGCCGGGCCTTCCGCTCTGCAGAACGTCGGAGGTTTTGGCGGCTAGTCAGATGATAGGAGAAACCAGAGCTGTATAGGTAGGCATCACGGGACTAAAATGCAACCGCCACCGCCGCTTCTGTTGCATAAAGGGACTCAGACTCAGTGCCCACACAGGGCCTGCAGTTCTAGCATAATCAATTTTTCAAGTTTTCTGCATACCTAAAGCGGGTATTCGCGGAGACTCACGTGCTCTTGTCAGCTGTCGTTGGTCACTGACTTCGGGT